ATATATATATATATATATGTAGATGATACCGGCAGTTATGACTTGCCAAATACATTGGTATGCATAGCAGAAACAATATGTACAGTCCATGCATGACACGTGGATTCTGTTGAGTAAATTATACAGTTCATCTTTGGACTTTTGAGTGTGTGTGTATATATATATATATATATATATATATATATATGTAGATGATACCGACAGTTATGACTTGTCAAATACATTGGTATGCATAGAAGAAACAATATGTACAGTCCATGCATGACACGTGGATTCTGTTGAGTAAATTATACAGTTCATCTTTGGACTTTTGAGTGTGTGTGTGTATATATATATATATATATGTAGATGATACCGGCAGTTATGACTTGCCAAATACATTGGTATGCATAGAAGAAACAATATGTACAGTCCATGCATGACACGTGGATTCTGTTGAGTAAATTATACAGTTCATCTTTGGACTTTTGAGTGTGTGTGTATATATATATATATATATGTAGATGATACCGGCAGTTATGACTTGCCAAATACATTGGTATGCATAGAAGAAACAATATGTACAGTCCATGCATGACACGTGGATTCTGAACGATCTTGGTTCAGGATCAAGTTGGGAGAGTCAGCCAGACATGCCAACGTATGTGTTCATGTGACATCATGCCACGTTGACCTCCTGCTGTTGAGTCTGATCGGAAATCTACTGATAGTAGGTTAGAATATAACTCGTATGTTGCCATTAGATGGAAATACATACTTGTTTGTGGGTGATCGCTCTGTGAGCATAATGAAATGACTACCCATGAACATATCTTTCTTGAACACTCATTTCAGATTCATAGTGTACCACAATATCGTGTGATGATAATAATAATAATAATAATAATAATAATCATAATAATCATATTAATCATAATTACATTTGCTATGCGCTGCATAAAATAGAAGAAAACTCTGTTGATACAAGATATAGATACAAGACAAATAGATGTGGCAGTTTCTGCTTCTTTCACATGTGATGGGAGATGGTTCCGTAGAACGGGAGCATTGCAGACAAATGTGATCCATTCATACATATTTCGCCGCTGTTGTGCCTTACACGCCCTGTGGAAACTGTTTCGGCGGATAATCGAGACCGGTTATCCTGGCATTATTTTTTTATGTTCACTAATAAGTGTTTAGCTCAAACTTCAGAATCCATCGACAATATATCGCGTTAACGGTAGTTCAAGACGAACGGAGTGCCGATAGCAGACACAGTGTCGATAAAGATTTTGTCTTGACAGCAAGGACCTGTATCACTTCGCTTTATCCTCCCACAGTAAGTCGACATGACATAACTGATTCAACGTGGCGTTAAACCCAACACACTCATTCACTGTACACGGCTTCAGCCTGTGTTAAACCCAACACACTCATTCACTGTACACGGCTTCAGCCTGTGTTTAACCAAACATACTCATTCACTGTACACGGCTTCAGCCTGTGTTAAACCCAACATACTCATTCACTGTACACGGCTTCAGCCTGTGTTAAACCCAACACACTCATTCACTGTACACGGCTTCAGCCTGTGTTAAACCCAACACACTCATTCACTGTACACGGCTTCAGTCTGTGTTAAACCCAACACACTCATTCACTGTACACGGCTTCAGCCTGTGTTAAACCCAACACACTCATTCACTGTACACGGCTTCAGTCTGTGTTAAACCCAACACACTCATTCACTGTACACGGCTTCAGTCTGTGTTAAACCCAACATACTCATTCACTGTACACGGCTTAAGTCTGTGTTAAACCCAACACACTCATTCACTGTACACGGCTTCAGTCTGTGTTAAACCCAACACACTCATTCACTGTACACGGCTTCAGTCTGTGTTAAACCCAACACACTCATTCACTGTACACGGCTTAAGTCTGTGTTAAACCCAACACACTCATTCACTGTACACGGCTTCAGTCTGTGTTAAACCCAACACACTCATTCACTGTACACGGCTTCAGTCTGTGTTAAACCCAACACACTCATTCACTGTACACGGCTTCAGCCTGTGTTAAACCCAACATACTCATTCACTGTACACGGCTTCAGCCTGTGTTTAACCCAACATACTCATTCACTGTACACGGCTTCAGCCTGTGTTAAACCCAACACACTCATTCACTGTACACGGCTTCAGTCTGTGTTAAACCCAACATACTCATTCACTGTACACGGCTTCAGCCTGTGTTAAACCCAACACACTCATTCACTGTACACGGCTTCAGTCTGTGTTAAACCCAACATACTCATTCACTGTACACGGCTTCAGTCTGTGTTAAACCCAACACACTCATTCACTGTACACGGCTTCAGCCTGTGTTAAACCCAACACACTCATTCACTGTACACGGCTTCAGCCTGTGTTAAACCCAACACACTTATTCACTGTACACGGCTTCAGTCTGTGTTAAAGCGACAAAATGATTTATTCTGTTCGTTACAAAAGCTGCCGTGATTCGTTGTGCAGAGTGAGTTCTGTCTGATTGTGAGTTCGAATCCCGGATATTCCTGATTATGATCCCTGGCTATATTTAACCAAAGTGGTAAACGACTTGCATCACTTCGAACATTCCTCGCACATGAAGCCGTGAGAGCAAGGCAATACTGCTTGAAGCGTCGTTAAACCTCACTCACTCACTCACCGATGTGTATTGGTACAAAAGCAAAATGTACTTATAGGATCACAACTGTTTCTATTCAACTACCGTACGTTGGTGAAAGTTTAAACCACTTGTTTAACATTAGTAAGCGATAGGCGGTAACACTCATTAAAATATATTTCTATTACATATTCATATTCGAAAAACGAATAACGAATAACGAACCTGCTGCTAACTTCAGGCCCCTTAACAGAAGGGGAATTAAAATGGTTCATGGACTGGGAAACAGAATATTTACCGGCTTTCTTAATCATTTCCTACAACCATTATTCTTGATAATTTGCTCTTTTTTCTTACGAGACGAGAATATAGAGATGTCAATTTCTTTATTATGAGGAACACAACGTTTCGGAGTATATGCTTACTCCTTCATCAGGTGAATGAAGGAGTAAGCATATACTCCGAAATGTTGTGTTCCTCATAATAAAGAAGTTGACATCCATATTGCAGCCATATAGTCTCTTCCTTATGTGTATCACTTCTAAATGCCTTTCAAAGACCTAAATACCTGCTATTCCTATAAACATGCCATAAGCCATTATAGCATAAGATACTCCCAGTGATAAAATGCATATTCATTTTAGATTTCTCGTTGACTTGAATATATTGAGAAACATGATAATATATTTCCAACAGACTTCAGTGAAACAAAATAAAATTGCGTACACACAAAACTACCATCACATATCCGCATTACAAGAAACCAACTATTTAATCGGTGCATGGATCTAAAAGTAGCCAAAGCGAAGTGGACGTGTGTCAAAACTTACATTATTTATCGCACTAATCAAAATAATACGATGACTGATGAGAAGCTGCCCGATGTCTATAGAGAAGACCTACAATGCCGCTGGAAGCCTACATGTGTGTGTCATTAGCGTGTTTGTCAGGTGCTACCAGAGTCTTCTATTGGAGCCAGGAGTGAATCTCCCGTCACTCAGCGGGGCTTCAGAGCCATGGCTTGGATCTACTCAATCTGTGATCGTTATGAAGGTGATAATTGCCTCCATACACACATACCTCATCAGCTGGTTATGTACGTCGCAACAAAGCATTTGGGGTGTAGATTATAATGAACATATGATATCCTAGCTTACTACTTATAGGTGACCATATGTTTTGGTGGCCCCGTTGTGATCAGGGGGCTGTTATACACTTGGTGGCCTTAAAGGGGCGTCACTGGTAACGCTGATCATATGTGAAGAACCTGAGAATTCCATCACTACAATAACGGCACAGATGGTGGAATTTTCCAATATTATTACTTTTACATACATGTAATGAGATATTTTGAAATCCATTTTTGAAGATGTGACGTCATACAAGGATTGTTATAACATTTAGAGATACTGTGAGGCATTCACATTTCTTTAGTCTGAAGCTCTTGATAAGTAAAATTGTTTTTCTTTAGAAAGTTTTGGGACTTTAATCAAAGATTTTCTTAACATTACATACGTTTGCGTGTGATGCCTGTTAAAAACATCTTTTTTAACAATTTGGCAAGTTTTCGTATCACAAAGGCCTCGTTGAAGTGGTTAAATAAGTAAACCAAATTTACATTACCAATACGGCTAATGGAATAAAATTGTTTAAAAACCTGGGTAAATAAGACGGGATAGTTACCTTCAGAAACCGACAAATGACTAGTTTTCATGTAATAGTTTTGTGACTGCCTTTCATTGGCCGTTGTTTGGTAAAAGCGTTTCTTTACGAAGTCGGCAAATAACCAGATACAAAGTACCTTAAGAAACGTTGTAGATAGGAGAAGGTGTGAATGTGTCTCAAAGTACAAGCAAATACTTTTGTGCCCATCGTCAACGGGTCTCATTTGCGAAATATTCAATGAGAAACTTTTTCATAGGAAGCTATGACCTCACCTCTTTTTCACAAGTACCATATCAAAATATCAACCTACAACATGCACTTGTCCTTTGGAGCTTCACAGTGTGGAGAAGTGCAGAATACTATCGCTGACCATATATGTACATGTATTTCCTATTTCTCCAATCAAGATAAGGGGCGTTTCGTCCATGGTTACGCCCACATACATTTCGACAGCGACACGGTGCCGTTGTGCAAGCATTCTGGTGGTCAATCCGTGAAACGTTTCAGGTTGTCTCAGTGCAATTTGAGGAAAATGTATCTTCAACATCGATATATATTTTATTTCACGTCTTGTCACCAAGATGGAAGAAACATTTAAATATTAAATGGGTACAATTATCTTGTAGTAACTCCATACTGATATACAGAAAGAGAAACTACAATGCATTGAACGGCAAACTGCCATTTGGATATCTTCATCGACATCTGTATGTACGGACTACAGAGCCACGCATGGAACAGGTTTCTGGTTTTTGTCCTTTCTGTTTGTGGATGTCCAGGTAATTCTCTGATTTGGTACCTAACATATACATTTTAACATGAAATTTCCCTTTTTAATATATTTTTAATATATCTGTAATTGAAACATGATTGCAAATGAAATGAGCATGAGAGAACCAGTGATTGAAATACCTGTAGCTGACATGAACGCATGAAGTACATCTGACGGCTGATGTAGATATAGATTGATATCAGTTTTATAGTTAATGTGTCTCTTGTTTGGGGGACTGTAATCTGTAATTGAAACATAAATGCAAATGAAATGAGCATGAGAGAACCAGTGATTGAAATACCTGTAGCTGACATGAACGCATGAAGTACATCTGACGGCTGATGTAGATATAGATTGATATCAGTTTTATAGTTAATGTGTCTCTTGTTTGGGGGACTGTAATCTGTAATTGAAACATGATTGCAAATGAAATGAGCATGAGAGAACCAGTGATTGAAATACCTGTAGCCGACATGAACGCATGAAGTACATCTGACGGCTGATGTAGATATAGATTGATATTAGTTTTATAGTTAATGTGTCTCTTGTTTGGGGGACTGTAATCTGTAATTGAAACATGATTGCAAATGAAATGAGCATGAGAGAACCAGTTATTGAAATACCTGTAGCCGACATGAACGCATGAAGTACATCTGACGGCTGATGTAGATATAGATTGATATTAGTTTTATAGTTAATGTGTCTCTTGTTTGGGGGACTGTAATCTGTAATTGAAACATGCTTGCAAATGAAATGAGCATGAGAGAACCAGTTATTGAAATACCTGTAGCTGACATGAACGCATGAAGTACATCTGACGGCTGATGTAGATATAGATTGATATTAGTTTTATAGTTAATGTGTCTCTTGTTTGGGGGACTGTAATCTGTAATTGAAACATAAATGCAAATGAAATGAGCATGAGAGAACCAGTTATTGAAATACCTGTAGCCGACATGAACGCATGAAGTACATCTGACGGCTGATGTAGATATAGATTGATATTAGTTTTATAGTTAATGTGTCTCTTGTTTGGGGGACTGTAATCTGTAATTGAAACATGCTTGCAAATGAAATGAGCATGAGAGAACCAGTTATTGAAATACCTGTAGCCGACATGAACGCATGAAGTACATCTGACGGCTGATGTAGATATAGATTGATATTAGTTTTATAGTTAATGTGTCTCTTGTTTGGGGGACTGTAATCTGTAATTGAAACATGCTTGCAAATGAAATGAGCATGAGAGAACCAGTTATTGAAATACCTGTAGCCGACATGAACGCATGAAGTACATCTGACGGCTGATGTAGATATAGATTGATATTAGTTTTATAGTTAATGTGTCTCTTGTTTGGGGGACTGTAATCTGTAATTGAAACATGCTTGCAAATGAAATGAGCATGAGAGAACCAGTTATTGAAATACCTGTAGCCGACATGAACGCATGAAGTACATCTGACGGCTGATGTAAATATAGATTGATATCAGTTTTATAGTTAATGTGTCTCTTGTTTGGGGGTGAAATTTCATTCTCGCCACATTATAATAATTTATATGTTCATCCAATGCTTACCGTCACATAAAGCATCAATACTCTTATGTTATGTATGTACATTCCAACAAGGGAATATATGAGGCTTGACTCCTCCATACATTAACACTGAATAAATTAACAGCTGCATCATCAAAAAGTTGGAGCAAATTATTTGTTCACAATTTGAAAGTCGAGATATGCTAATTCGGAACAAGTCGCTCTTGGTTAAGTGATTGTGTGGATATATAAAAGATATGAAAAAGCCCAATCAAATTCCCAGTGGGAAGCACGCAGGGTTATAGACCGAAAAGATGTGTGATAAGCTACCTGATCTTAACGCTTGTGTATCAAATCCACGTGATATTAACCGGTATATATATATGGATTTGATATATATACACAGACACATATTTATACACAGACAGGTCGATAGTCGCCATGGCGAGCTAATTTTATGAATTACAAAGGTGTTATTTATCATGAATGGAATCCATCAACTGCGACAAAGTAAACAGGAAAAAGAAATGATTCTATTGATAGCTTTTTTGTTTAGATATAAAAAAATCTTAATTTTCTACATTGTAAATAGAACTTATTTTAAGTTAAATTGCACTGGGGGGGGGGGGGGGGGGGGGGGCACGCCTGTTAATAGATTTCATGATGTTTTTTGGTTTAGTATGTATTTTGGTGTGGCTGCTACAGATACATCATATACGCAGTGGCGGCAAAGGTAAAGAAATCTGGAGGAAAAGCTTTTGACACAAGATCAGAGCATTACCTTCTAGTCTCGGTGTAACACTCATATCCAATATTAATACCAAAATAAAAGGAAAGCACTATATTTGAGGGGTATATATATATTTTATTCTGCCGAAAGCCAAGGCATAGGCTGACTTATCAACACCATACACATACATTTCAGTACATTTCTTATAAAATCACATTTCAACCATATGGTCATATGCTCACGAGTTGTTTTGTTTTTATGACAGCCACAAAACAAACGAAAACACAGCTAGCGTTTATTTTTATTTTTCATGTCATATTATTTTACATTCATAATATCATATTAATTGGCATTATTTATCTTCTACCTTACAACATCCGCGCATAATTGCTTCTTTTCATACACTTCAGATTGTCCTATCAACCCTAATAGAAGACCTTTTTTTAATGTAAAAAAACAAAGACGCAATATGCTAGCCATCTGTTCAAAGCATGTCATGTCCATTATTTTGGAATAAAGCAATATCACCTGCTGCATATGGATTGCATTTGGATGTAATTAATCCAAAGGTTTTAGATAGCAACGATTAACACTGTTTTCAACAATCGATAGTTACACCAAATCTGGGATTTTGTGATAAATACAACTCGTTATTGGACTTCGCTATGTTCACAATCATGAAACAGATTGGGTATATATTGTCCAACTTAGAACACCCTAGCCATGATATTTACATTCAATTACAATATGCACAATGGGCAAAACGAAGGGATAGAACAGCAGAATAGAACATTTAAGTCTTTAAGAAAAATGTACATTGCGTAGGCCAGCATACCATTTACATTAAAAATATAATGAAATGAGTTTGCACATGGATCACCATAGTAACACGTTGAATAATGCCTTTGCTCTGTAAAATTTAATTACCTTGGTGTGAATAACAATCCATTTTTCTTTCGCCAAATGAAATATATTTAGGCGCAAACAAATTTTGCCCTGAACTTTTTATGTGAACGATCATTTTCAGTGGTCCATTCATAATTTTCATTACAAGTTTACCTTTCGCAACCAATTGAGTCATGAGATATTCGAGACTGAATAATTGACATTTTAATTATCAACTTTCCCTTCATGTCGAGCAATATTCCAGCAGCTACAACCTTTTTGTCTACACTTCACATCGTTTGAGATGAAATCGAGCATACTCTTTCTACCAAGATTTCAATAATGTCAATCTTGTTCAAAAGTTGTTTCATCAGGAATAAAGCATTCAAGAATATTACAACGTTTATGGTGGACATGTTAAGGACATTTTCAAATTTTAAAATGTTTGACAAGTGGTGACATGTGACACAGTACTTGGTTTTCATTTGTACCGTATGTTCCCGTGATGTTTTGGGTGAACAGTTGACCTGCCTTTGCATGTGTTTTAGACGGGTGTCACCTAGGGGACCGGATGTTTATGGTTGACATGTAAAGGAAATTTCATTTTCAAATTTTCAAATCATTGACAAGTGATGATGTGTGACACAGTGCTTGGTTTTCATTTGTACCGTATGTTCCCGTGATGTTTTGGGTGAACAGTTGACCTGCCTTTTCATGAACAGTTGACCTGCCTTTGCATGTGTTTTAGACGAGTGTCACCTAGGGGACCGGATGTTTATGGTTGACATGTAAAGGAAATTTCATTTTCAAATTTTCAAATCATTGACAAGTGATTATGTGTGACACAGTACTGGGTTTTCATTTGTACCGTATGTTCCCGTGATGTTTTGGGTGAACAGTTGACCTGCCTTTTCATGAACAGTTGACCTGCCTTTGCATGTGTTTTAGACGGGTGTCACCTAGGGGACCGGATGTTTATGGTTGACATGTAAAGGAAATTTCATTTTCAAATTTTCAAATCATTGACAAGTGATTATGTGTGACACAGTACTGGGTTTTCATTTGTACCGTATGTTCCCGTGATATTTTAGGTGAACAGTTGACCTGCCTGTGCATGTGTTTTAGACGGGTGTCACCTAGGGGGCTGGTTACGCTAACCTTTTCGCGAACACCTGGTGTAATCCCTATTTGAAAATGACTGACAAACAGATGCTGAAGCTAAAGTCGGAACCGCACAGTGGACTCTACTTTTGGCACAGATTTCTTATGTTTATTGAAAGGGTTTGATAAGGATGTTGACTTTCTGCCATGTTCTATTTGTCGAAGTAAACAAATATCAATAAGATGTGTAAGACAGACTGCTGGAATATCATCATATATTTTATGAAACAGACAAAGTTTCCGATTTGACCTTCGTTCTAATAACGTTTCCTAACCGCATCAGGCATAGCGCAATACGTGATGCACAGTTTAGAAAACTAGTTAGAATTCTTACATCTTCTAATAAAAGTTTGTCTAGTTGAGCAATATGTTTTTTGTGTTCATTTCTCCCAAACGTCACATGCATATTACAATTTGGCCATATAAAAACTGTATATACCTTATTCACCGATTGTGGCTTTACAGTATTGCTTATGTGACAAGACCATCTTGTAATTTGATGAAAATGTCAGTCCCAGTTCACAATGATCCACTTGTTTCATTTCTTTGTTATCCAAAATCAGTTTTATATCACCAAATTTGTTTTGGATTCCTGGTAAGAATAAATGTCACGGGCAACCGATGGTTGATTGATTTACTTATCATTGTTTTTCAATTGTCTAGATCGATGCAAAGAATGTCAATCATTGGATTGTCT